TTTGACAAAAAATCCATAAAAAAATGTCATCTGTGGAAGCCGTAATACTGTAAAAAGCACGACCAATCATTTTAGCCGGCCCGGCTAAAATAACTGGATGGCCTACCTGCCTGTCAGCCTTCCATCTGTGCACAAACTTATCTCGTGCCCTCATTGGTCATGTGCGCGTTCGTGTGTGTTGGAGGAGGGGCTCTGTCAGGAAGTGGGAGATTCTTTCCGGCTGTGTATTTTCAAATTCTAGCGCACTCGAGCTGGTTTCTCCAAAATTACCTACCCTACCTTTAACTAACTGTTTTTATTTTTGTTTCCGGTCTTTATGCTAAACTAAGATAACCTAAACTAAGCTACTCCTGTACAGTTACGAAAGCTGTATTGCTAGCAGGAAAGCACAAAGAGTGTATTCCCCGAAGTGATGATTGTGACTCTTTTTAGAAAACCAAATAAAGGAAACATGGTCTGTCTGTGTGTATGTGTTTTTTCTGTCAGTCATTGAATGCAGGCATTTTGCAATTGAATGTTTCATAAAGAAGTCTTGCTCTCTCTGTTTCCTGTTCTTCACATTTCTAAAGATTCCCCGAGTCAACATCACCTCTCTGACACTGACTCCTGTGTTTTTCATCCTTTCTTGAGTCGGCTCTTTTTCTAAAGTCGATTTTTCTGTAGTCTCTCTTTGTCTCTCTGGAGCATGCACACCGTCCGTTCTAATTGTCAAGGTTGGTTGATGCAATCGATCAGAGCAATTTCACTCACAGCAGCCTCATCTGACAGGCTGCACAATTTATGAGTCAGTGGATTATACCAGAGCAGAATAAATGGTTTGATTTTTTATATTTATTTCATATGCTCCATTTTCATCAATCTGATTGAACCCCAATTCTGTTCACCTATGTCTCTGACTGGGGGAGTGTGTGAGGGAAGCCAAATAAACACACACACACACACACACACACACACACACACACACACACACACACACACACACACACACACACACACACACACACACACACACACACATTTGACTGTTGCTGAGTAGTTATGTCTCACATTGTAGTGGATGGATGAGATCAGCCAGGATGGATGATGGATGGAGGGGAATCACACCCTCTTTCTATTGAAAAGAAAAACAATGACTTCCATTTGAATACTATCCCCAATTCTAATAAAAGTGTCCACATGAATGCGTTTGATTTGATTTAGTTTACTTTAACGCTGTTGCAGTATTGTGTTTCCCCGATGTTCCAGATGGGTGCATCTGAATTATACATAAAACTCCTTTTATGGCAGCTCTGTTGAAAGTGCAGGTATTACTCAAGCAGCAATGAAATTGTGTTGCGCGCTGTGTTTGTCCAAAAAAACGAAATACATTCTATGCAATGCTACGATAAAGATTGCTTATCACCACGCCATATTGCTTTTCAGGAATATTGGGTGTGCATTGAATCCTTGCAAATGGTGTTTCTTTGTTGCAATGGAAGTGACAGCATCTGCAAGTGATGCATGTCACACGGATGTCAAATAACACTCGCTTGTACTGTGGTTGGCATATAGACAGGAAAATAATGAAATTGTAAAAGTAATCTGTTTTTCTCCCTATATTTCAGCTGATCTTCCCCACCTGCCCATACCGTTCTAAACCAAGTGCAGAATTGCTTGTGCGGTACAATTACAGCTTAAAGAGATTTCAGTCTTCATTGTCTGGCAGACAGTAACCAATGAAAAATTAAAGATCTCTGCAGGCATAAGTAGTCAACTTGTCCGTACGGATCTGTCCACACAAGAAAGATCCCCCACACCCCCGGAGTTAAACAAACGAGGTTTTATGTCGGGGCGTGCTGTTTGGCTCCACACAGCTTCATGTAGAGAATAGCAATTAACCAGAGAAGTGATTTTAAAAGTTGACTTTAAGGAAGATCTGGATCACTCAGAAGTCAGAATTAGGGAACATGACGGTCTTCCTGTGTAGCATGCAACAGTGAGCCACTAGTGTCCTAATCAGACTTCATTTTTCCTGGCATCTCCCATAGTGTCACAGTGATACTTCTGCCAGATTCTTAGCGGGTGTGTGCTGTGCTCAGCACTGATCTTATAATGCTTCATTCTTTCCCTCCATCACAACAGTATCACTTTAATATTCCTGTGTGATTTGAATACGCAATGGCTCTGCAGTGAAATTACTTATAGTTTATCTTCAAATTGTATTCTCAGATTAAGACAGCTGTTTTAGTGCTTTAGTACTGCGGCATGATGGGAAAATCTATAGACAATCTTAAGTAACGGCTCACTGCTGCCTTAATTTGAAATCTCTTTTTCTTCATCTACGTTTATAAAAGGAGCAGCAAGACCAATTAGTTAGTGAGTGTATATCATGGGATAGTGACTCAGTAGCCAGTTTGATTGGGAATGCAAATAACAGTTATTTTCTTTATCAATTAATCTTGTATTTAACTGATTAGTTTAATTTGAAATATGAATACTTTAAGAAGATGATAAAATGTTGATCAGTGTTTCCAAAAGCCTGTCCTCAATTGTGTTTTTTTGTTTTCTGAAAGATATTTAGTTTACTGTTTAAAAGTAGTAAAAAAAAACACAAGATATTCACATTTTAGTAGATGAAATCTGAGAATTTCGCCTCTTTTTTGTAAAGAATGACTTAAACCGTTTAATCGATTAACATACTGCAGATTTATCTAAAAGTTGACATCTAATCAATGAATCTTTGCAGTGCTATATTTGATACATCCTGCCAAAACAAAAGCAGTCCCAAACAACAGCGCTGCTATGAGACCAACATTAAAAATGGGTAAATATTTAGCTTGTGGTCTTTTAAAGAGATTTCGATTCAACTTGATGCTACAGTTTGTGACGTTGTTGAATTGTGTACTATTGCACATCTACAAAAAAACAATCCATTGTATTAGGTACACCTGTACAGTCTAATGAAATCCAACACAACTACTCTGCCCTACAACATACGGCGGTAGGCCTACTTAATTTCTATTATGCTCAGTTTTTCTTGACACTGCCATAAAGATGTTATTACAGTCATATGTTTGAGCATTGAGGTTGGTGTCATTATGGGTTGTGCTGGACTGCGTTCTATATCTTTGAGTTTATCAAGATGTTTTGATATATGATCTCATCACAATATGATTTAAATGAAAGATGCTAATTTTCATATTGAGTCATATATTGGACAGCATGATATTCTACCATTAGCAGAATTGTAACATTAAAGGACACCTATCATGCTATATTTAAATGATATATTGTAGGGCCATACCTATATAAGGTATATTTATACGTTTCTGTTTTCAAAATAACAAACAGATCATGCATTTTAGCCATGCCTCATTTCGCTCCATTTGCTCTTTCCAGCACTGTTTTTGCAGGGGGCTGATTCTGTGAGCTGCAGCTGACCACGCCCCCCTGCAGGAGAGGATTGCGTGCTCTGATCAAGTCAGAAGAGGGGGAGAAAAATAGATCTCCGTCCTCCGTGTTTTATTATATTATTATATATAACCTAACTGAAACTCTGCTGCACGGTCCCCTCGTTCCTTGGAAGAGGCGGAGAGGTGGGTGTTTGTCATCTGCTGGTGGACTAACCGAAGAGAATTACAGTGCGTGCCTCGACGGGGAGGGATTGCATTGAATTAAAGCAGCGGGAGCAAACGCTTGCCTCGGGGAGGGAGAAAAAAAGCCACAGCGGAGAATAAACAGAAGGGTAACCATGGTAACCATGCGCGGGAAGTCTTCTTCGCTGCTTTTGTGGCAGACTACAGCGCCACTTACAGGCCTGGCATATGTACTACAGCGTCTCCAGCGCTTTCGAGGGGCAATGGCCGGCCGTGGCCCAACCCCACATTCCCCTGATAGGTGGAGAGTTGGCCCAATAGCCGTAGCGCCACTGTCCTGACGTCAGGACAGTGTTCAAATCTGGATCAGTTTTTATCAGATCCGTTGCAGCCCCTTTTTTAGAGATTTGGATATGGAGGAAAATAGAGAGGGTTGTGTTTTCTGACACTTGGTGAGTTCCCTGGAACACTGGGGACACATATTCATGTATAAAAGACGTACAAAAGTGCATTTTGCATGATAGGTCCCCTTTACAGTAAGTCTTAATTTGGGTTTTCAGCTGTTGTTGTTGTTGCTTTTGTTATGCATTGAGATGTGTTTCTATTATTGTGTCCACCCCATCAATGACAACAAAGGTAGCCTCATTTTTGTTTAATTAATATTGGCCTATTGGCTTCAACAACACCTGGACTAATCGATTAGTCGATCAACTTTCAAAAAATCACGAACTTAATATTTTGATTAATGGGCATTTTTTCATTCAAAAATAGCAAAAATAGATGCAGAAATAGCAGTTTGCAGCCTCTCAAATATTGAGATTTTCAGCTTTTTTCTGTTTTCATATCATACTAAAGTGAAATCTTTGTGTTTTGGACTAACAGAACCAGACATTTAAAGACGTCACATTGGACTGTGAGAATTGTATGGACAAATCGATTGATCCAGAACATGAATGGCTAGATGTATTAATAATGATAGCAATCTTTATTTACAGGCCGAATTCCAGATATGACTGCAGTCTAAATTCTACTAAAAAGAATATTAAACTATAAAAAACATATTTACCCAAATCAATTGGGATGTTCTCAGGAGCAACGATGACTCAATTTGGGGTTTGGATGCCTAAAGGGTAACCTTAGTGTAAACAATATGTTGTTTAATTTAACTTTAACTTATTTTAACATGATATAATCCTACGCACAAAACACACCAGACCTTTTGTTCCACTCTCACGCGCTAATCTCCCAAAGTACACCGCAGACAGTTCCATACTTCAATACACAGCAACAAAAACAATCTTCCTTCATGTGGATTAAACCGTATTAAATGTGATTCTCTAACAAACAACATTTGAAAACCTCTATCCCAAGCGCGCACTGTCCCCTTCCCCCCCCCCCCCACAAAAACACAAAACTGCGTCCTACCGTTTTCCCTGCGTGCGTGGACTTGATCCCGGCAGCAGTGGTCTTCTCACTTGGAATACCAATTTTAAAAGAAAAAAAGGAAAAGGATAAATCCCAGTTCAAATCAGTGCAGATAGATGGAGCATTGTTTGCCTCCTATCGCTCGCTTTTCTTTCCACTCGTTTCTGACTGAGCAGAGGTTTAGTATCCACACTGGCTGAGCTCGTCCATTCTAATTGGACGCTGGGATCCCGAGGAAGCTGCTCACCAATGTGGACCATGTGGACGACAGCGCTGATGGTGGTCGATATATACTCTTATCCTCCTCCTCTGGTAGTGTTATGTGTCTTGATTAATTTCCCCCTTTCTTCCCTTGTTTTCCCGACAATGATATCCTCCAATAGTGACCCACTCCTCTGATTATCCCTGCTTGACTTCACTCCCTCCCCCTTTTAGAGTGAGAGAGAGAGAGAGAGAGAGAGAGGGGGAGAGAGAGAGAGAGACACAGAGAAAGAGAGAGAGAGAGACAGAGTGAGAGAGAGTATTTTTTATCCTCGTTCACTTTCAAAACAAACATTTGGTGTCGTATGGGTTGTTGCATTTAACCTTAAGACTTATCTCTAGCAACACTTAAATGTGAAACACCACGTTTGCAGAGAGTGATTTCAGCACCATGGACAGTGGCCTTGTATTTTATTGTGAAAGGTTACGGTCGTAAAATGTGATCCTCCTCACTCTGCCACTGACAGAGTGATGGGTTATACTTCCTGCAGTGGCAATGGCAGACAGACGTGTGGAGAAGCGAGGGGATGGAGTGAGTGGAAAAAGTGTCATTTCTGTCTAGCCAAGGGCAAGGGAATTCAAGCTGAACCGTGGCCCCCCTCCATATCCTGCAAAACCTTATTGCAGTCATAGCAAGCGGCTACACTTCATCAGTGGCTGTGAGGGAAAGAGTGAAGATTAGATTACTTTCTATATCCAGCACTTTAAGGGCCCCTGTCTGTGATTGCTCGCCTTTTGTCTCCGAATGCTTTGTTGGAAGGACTTTAATGTTAGGGTTCAATAATAGAACATTGGTTCCCAACACACAGTCCTGACAGATGAACTAAGGATTATTTTCATCAGAGGTCAGACAAGCAAGGGAGACCACACAGATACATTACATGTAATGTAATGTATAATGAGATAATACTGGATTAAATTACAACAAATGTAGTCAACCAATATTACACACAAATATTTTCAAAACACGTAAATCCTGATCGTTATAGTGTAAGGAGTGCATGGGTTTAGGCAAATGTAATGTTGGCAAAAAAAACAAAAACACCACTGAACAGAAGCCAGCTCGCTGGGAGGAGAGAGACATAACTGACATGAGTCTCTTTCACACATAGACTGCAACATTTTCTAAATATAACCCGGAAGTGCTGTATGTGAGAAAGCAAATTTAAATATCATACGGACTGGACGGACTCAATGTCCGTGTAATGTCCGATTGAGCATGGGTGTGAAATTAGGAAGCCTGTACATCATTGCAGTTTAATATACATCAGGCACATGGAGTATTTCCAGTAAGTGGTAAAGCTTGTGACATGGAAAACATCCTGTTGTGTGCTAGGGAAACACTCTCTGAATCTCATTCTCCAGACATTATCCGGGTCAGGAGAAAAAACGTTTATCTGAATGCATCATTTGCAGTAAAGTAAAATGTATTTGACAGAGGCATGGCACAAATAATAATGTATCCATTAGGCCAACTTCTGCCTAGCTGTTTACTTCAGTAACTTAATGACATCACTGTGTAACACTCGCGCTTCTATTGGCTACCGGTCAATACATTGTGATACATCTCTAAGCGGTTGACCAATCACAACAGAGCCAGCCAGCTAACCAATCAGAGCAGACTGGGCTCTGGTTTCAGACAGAGGGTGAAAGAGGCAGCACAGGCAGTCTGAGAAAAATAAAGACCTTTTTGAACATTAAAGCATGTGAACATGTCACAATAGAGGCAAAAAATACAAATATCCACCAAAGATGTTGCATCATAGTCCTCTGTAAATGCTTTTTAGCTATCGACTTATGCAAAACCTTTATCTAACCTCTCTTCTCTATTGCTAACTGATTTAGTTCAGGTGTTAGAAATGATTTCACATGTGGATATCATTTTTTTTTATCAAAAACGAATTTCTTCTCTTTTGGTGAAATAAGTTGAGCAACTCTTCTGCAATCTCCCCACATGGTCCCTGGTGACTGCTGAAGCAAACCCTTGGGTACGAGGAGACAAATCCTGTTTGGATATCAAAGAAGTCTGGGAATCAAAGAAGTCAGTGAATACCCTGTGCACGAGCTGCACCTCTGATGAGGACTCGATCTCACACTAATCACTTCACAGTGGATGAAACTGTGCTGACCCACATTAAGCAGCACTTCATTAACAGTTGCGCTCGCGTGCATGCGCAATGACCCATAGCTGCGTGTGAAAAGGTTCCCATGCCTGAGCAGGTACATTAGTTTGTGTCTAATTGCGTGTCTTTGTAATGCTGAGTACGCCGCAGTGTGTGTGTGTGTGTGTGTGTGTGTGCGTGCGTGCGTGCGTGCGTGCGTGTGTGTGTGTGTGTTTGAGCTAGGATTTTAATGATCTCCTCCTACCCCCGCTGGGCCAGCACAAGCTTATTTCGACCCACATCAGGATAATTAACATCATACTCAAGTGTCTGTAAGAGCACAGGGCTCCTTTTCACCATCTTTCCTCTCTTCCTGCTGTTATTAACTCGCCCTTTTTTTAGCTCACATGAAAAGCAAGCAATATTGAAATTCAACCTACGGGCTATTTGTATGCATGCAAAGTCCCACTCTCAGTTTATTTGCACATAAATTGGTCCATAAACTTTGCTTACAAGTTGTGTTTTGCAGCCATGAAAAATAAAAGCACCCCAGCCTCAAGCTTAACAGTTTTGCTTCATGGTTGCCAGTTTGAATCCCCACATATGCAGTCAGTCCCCTACTCCCTCTTCCCACACTGTTAAACTAAGTGCACTTTGACAAGTCACAGTTCCATTAGCTGCTCTGTGGCCAACATAAGAAGACTGAGGTTCTCTGGGCTGTATGCAGGTGTGTGTGTGTGTGTGTGTGTGTGTGTGTGTGTGTGTGTGTGTGTGTGTGTGTGTGTGTGTGTGTGTGTGTGTGTGTGTGTGTGTGTGTGTGTTGTGGAGTCACAGCAGCACGGTCTAATAACATAAGACTCGCTTAGCCTCCATTCGGCTGTATTTGACAATCCCCTCAGTGATTAGTGGAACAAATGTCTGCTCGTCGCATTACAGCTGTTGTTTTTGCGGCCATTTGTAAAGCTTTCATGTCCTGCTTGCTTTTTTATTAGGAGATCATCACATCACACCGTGTTTGTTTGCCTTAAATCACTGTTATCCCCGAAACATCTGTCTAAAGAAAAATGTAATTTCCTCAACTGTTTTTTTCCTACATTTATATGGAAATTGTGTTCATTTATATCACTCCATTAAGCATGTAAGCGGAAATTATACTGCCCTGTTTTTTTATACTTTGTTTTAGATGAAATCGCTCCGATCCCCATCTGTGAATCAAGTCGTGAAAGTGTATCTCTGCCTGTCATTTTGAAAATAGCTCAAACCAATTTTAGTCACAAAGAGATGGATGATTCAGTCCAAATTATATTTTTCACACTGACAAAGCGCCTGCGTTCCACTGTTACTCATTCACAGTTTGCGCTTCTTAGTTCAAGTTTCTTTCACATGCTGCCATCCACGAAAAATTAATTCTTGGTTTTTCTAATTAAAGCACCAGGACAATAAAGGAACAAAGACACATCCTTTCAATGTAAAAGGTTGAAAAATCCTCCACAGCAGCCAACATCCCTCTTTGATATAGAGGTGTGTGAATTTACAAAGCAAGTGGAGAAAGAGAACATTCCTAATTACAGCCGAACCCTATGGGAGTAGCTGCAAGATCTTTTTTTGCTCAAACGCACACTCACACACACACACAGACACACACACACACACACACACACACACACACACACACACACACACACACACACACACACCACACACACACACACACACACACACACACACACACACACACACACACACACGCACGCACACACACACGCACACACACACGCACACACACACGCACACACACACACACATATGCAGAGGATCGGTCTGTTGTCCATCATGGCCCTCACACCTTGACAGCTTGACAGAGATTTTGACATGTGAGGTTGCAACATAAAGGGATTACACTGATCTGTGATGAAAAGGCATGTTCCGGGCAGAATTCTCCAAGTGTGTATGTAACACTCAATAAACAAGGTGTGTTATACAAGCTCATGGGCAGATCAATTGGTCTCAATAAAACAACATCAAATCTGATTTTGAGACAACATAAGACATACTTGTATATATTACATGTATATTACATGTTTCCCTCTGGTGTTTTTCTGGTATGTTATTATTACATCATACACAAAGGCCTGACATACACAAATGCACCAACAGGAACTCTACACATTAGTGGAGAGGTGTCAGAGTAATGAGGGGCCTTGCTCAAGGACACCTCTGCAGTTTCTGGTTGGCAAACAGGCACCTCTTTATCTACTAGTTCGCACTCTGTTTTTGAGGTCCCACCAGGACTTGAACCGGTGACCCTTCGGTTCTCCAGCCAGGTCCCTACAGACAGAGCTACTGCCGCCGGAAGGTAGTTCTCCGATGGGGAATTGAACCAAGGCCGCAGCAGCAGGAGCGGAAAATCCAACCACTACAACAGAAGATCATTTGAGTTTTGCATACCAGTGTACGTATTTCTGAAGATAAATGGTATTTGATTGCTGGTGCTCACAGTATTGCAAAATTACAGTTTCCGCATGTCCAAGAAACAATGTATTCGCTACTCCGTTAAACAGCATGCAAACTGTCTGTGTTGTTGTGTGAGACCCAGAAAGGCAATAGATGAGTTAGAATGAAAGATTGTTTGTTGGGAGGTAAAAGGTAATGGATATGAGCCAAGAGTTAGCTGAGCAGAGGGGTGGCCTCAGGGTTTGGGGAACTGGGATGATGGCTGGTTGTGAAGCAGAGGGGAAGGAAGAGCAGAGTGTCCAGAGGGAAAGGAGGGTTATTCTGAGTCGAGCCGGTCCAAAAGGGAATCTA